TCCTGGGAATTAAAAACAGCTTTTTAAACAGTTTCTTTATGCATAAAATTTACTTATGTCAATAATTTATGCACTCGTGGAAACCAACAGAGCGCTAAGGCATTCAAATTCTAACAATTAAATTGTTATTGGTGATTTCAATAGTTTTCGTTTTTTGGGACACCCTGTACAGTACGGAGTGCTCAGGCATTCAAATTATAACAAGTTAAATTTCTAAAGGTCCTTTTTATATCCTTGTATTTGTCACCTAGCTGGCGGTCGGTTTATTGTCTTTAAATTCACGAGAAATTTGTTGTAATTTGCCAATAAACTATTGCATGAATTTTTTAAACAATGAAAAGACAATAAGTAAATTATGCAAAAGACCTTTTCCGTTGCATACACAACATTTCAATTTAATTATCATTTGCATTTCCAGTCATTAATCTTCCAGCTGCATCCTGTGTGTCAAAGAATCCGACTCGATATTCTTCAACAAAACGTCTTTAATTGAAACGAAATCGCTCAACACGTCGTTTTCGTTTACCTTATCCTTCCAAACATATGCTCGGGGAAGTTTACTGCGACAAAATGGCTCAAACAACGATTACGTCGATCTATATCTTACGTCTGGGACATTAAGCCACGCTTCAGGAAGTTATAACGGCCAAGTATACGTTGACGTTATAGTCTAGAAGTGGAATTGCCAGTTTGGAAAATTCTGTAAACGTTGGTCAAGAATGTACGATACGTGATGTGGTTTTCACAAAATAATGCATGGATCGAAAAGCTTAATACAACATTGTCTATTAACCTATGTTCGCTAGCAAGAGCTGAATTTTTAAGCAAAACTTCTGTAATACAGTATTGAGATGGTCACTCTTGGCAATTTGGATTTTGTTTGGAAGTATGTTTAAGATCAAAAATACATTTCTTAATGTGATCGGAGTGTCTCGGAAAAACGTCCTATGAACTGCCTCGTACCAAGGCGCCTCTTTGTAAAAAAACAGTGATGCCCATATGACGTGTTTACATGAAGTATTGTAGTGGGGAGAGATGGCGAAGGGGCTGATGGGAAGAGTGCACTTGAACTGCGAGACGCCTGGCATTTCTTGCAACAATGTACGATTTCTTGCAAGTTGTGATATTTTGTTGTCGTTTACGATTTTTTGCTACTTGTTTTTGTTGAATTGACTAATGTTAATATTCTCCTGTCATCCGGGCGTAAATTCATGCTGTTATTCTTGGTATATATGACATATACTAGAAGTAACTATCGCAAGGAAATTGCTGCCTCACCCCCAAAGGAATGGCACCATGCGCAATTGCTGAATAAGGGACTGTTTATACGATCCCGCTTTGCCAGGACGAGACATGAGGCGGGATGATTTTGATGTATTGAAATGAATCACAGTGCACAATTCAGCAAAAAACATTTTCTAGAGATAGATTATAGTCAACCGTAAACGAAAAGTTGTTCAAACAACAATAATCTTCTTGAACAACAAGATCTTTTCTACAATATTTGAGTTCTTTGCATTTGAACTTTTAACAGCCTAGTGACTTATTCAAATACATAAAAAATTATCCAACCATGTAAACAGCCCTAGGACACCTGTTTAGGAATCAGGAGATAGGAAAAGTGCAATCTGAATATCAAACACCTTGCACAAGGTCCAAGGTCAGCTAAATATTCTAATTCTACTCTCTTGGCATGGGCAGTTTTATATGAATACCTTCAACACTTATAACTTCTTGCTTTTGTATGTATAATTATAACACTGTCAGTGGTGAAGCTAGCCAAAGCAAACAGGTCATGCTATGTCAGTTTTTAATGATTCGCATTATAGATGCAGGTTTATTGGCGTGACCAATTGCCATGGTAGCTAGCTTGCCACTGAATACTGTACAAAATTATATTATATATAAACGATCGATAATATTTGAATGAATCATTGGACATGTAGAACTGATTTGATAACAATTTCATATATAGAAATATTAAGTCAGCTTTTGACCCAAGTATTGTTTTAATACAGTAATGGCACCTTCAAGGCTACCCCCATATTGCAAAACAACTGAAAAATCTGCTGATGCCTGATGGGGAGACAAAATCTATTTGTTGACACTGTTTCATATGTGAGCTTTTGATGACACCATTCACTTGTAATGATTAAGATTGTACTCAGTCACAACTGCAAAACTATATAATACAAGAAATTTTGAGCATTATCAAAAAAATATAGTATACCCTGAGTACTGTAGTGACACAGCAAAGTGAATATATAAATGTAGGCTGCTAGGATTATTTCACATTTAATATGCTAACAATGGACGAGAAAGTACAAAACATGGACCCCCGGTCCATGGACCCCTTGTCTGGACCGGGTCCATGGACCCCCTCTATGGACCGGGTCCATGGACCCCCTCTATGGACCGGGTCCATGGACCCCCTCTATGGACCGAGTCCATGGACTGGGTCCACGGACCCGCGATTTCTCAATGGCCCCATCTATGAATTAATGTTAACAGGAATTTTGAATACGCCTGAATATAAATAACCCTGTACAGGGAGAAAGCGGATTTATTTGCAAGGTCGGAATGTTCTATTGATTTGTTCCAAATAACACTTAAACATCCAGCTGGCTAGTGCACAGCTCACATTAATCGGAGCAGGTCAAATTGCTGATTGTGAACAGAGCCTTAGACCACTTTCATAAGGGACAGGTTGAAACACTTTTTTGAATATTGAACCAAGAAGGCTGATTAAGATGCACAATCAATGAAGGTGGTTTATTATTTCAACACTTTGCTGGCAGTGGTTTCTTTAATTTCATAAGCTGTGGTCGTTGACCGGCTTTACGGGTTAGTAACACTATTATTATTTACATGGTGCATTGATTTGTCATGATTTGTCGTTAGCAAGCCTCGCTTTAGTATGAAGAAGGCACTGGAGTGTAGATGAGGTTTGCTGCTAAGGGCAGAAGTATGCTTTAAAAACACTAAATTATTTTTAAAAATTGAAAACTCAAATCATGTTTAACTGTAATATTGAAATTTGGAAAAATGCGATCCATACAGGGGGTCCAAGGACCCGATCCATAGAGGGGGTCCATGGACCCAGTCCAGACAAGGGGTCCATGGACCGGGGGTCCATGTTTTGCACTTTCCCACAATGGACATATCTCAGAGATATATTTTTGCAGACCGTCATACCTTTTACAAAAGTCGGTTGACATGTTAATAGATGTATAAACTGCTGGTAAGTTTAAACTATGTGCAGACAACAATCGACACTGGGTTGCTTTAGGAATATATTTGTACTAGTCAGATAATTTTTCCTTCGTATACAATTGTGTCATTGTGTGTTCCAATAGTGGATTCACTCAGTTGTTTCAATGGGTAAAATAATTCGACCAAAACTGTCATACCTGTACCTTTTTATACAAAAGTCGGTTGACATGTTATTAAATACATGTAACTGCTGGCAAGTTACTATGTGCGGACAACAATCCACACTCGGTTGCTACAGGGCCCTATAGGAATATCTTTGTACAAGTCAGATAATTTTTCCTTCGTATACAAATTATTGTCATTGTGTGTTCCAATAGTGGATTCATTCGTTTCAATGGGTAAAATAATTCGACCAAAACACATTGTTATTTGTGATCAAACTTTCATCTTACCTTGAAGAATAATTTCGATAAATAGCCAGACATAAACTGGAATCAAAATTTACAAAAGGCACGAGGCAACGTGTTGTTTACAAATTGTAATACTGTAGTCCATGGTGGTGTTCGCGAGTCTCTGCCAGGGTATTCGGAAAGTCAAATCGCAATCTGGAGTATGTTATTTAAATTTCTGTGACGTCAAAATACGTCATAAATCTGAAAATCCGTACACCTCCAAAATTGAGTTGTCGTTCGGCTATACATAACTCGGCCGGAAACGGACTGGTGCGAGAAAAACAATCGTCAAGAATAGTGTGCTGCCTTCGGCAGCAATTAGCCTGCGAACAGGCTCTCAAGCTGAATTGAGAGCCTGCATCGTTGACTAATGAATTTGAATATCTGCCCCGTAACGTTCGTTTTTCCAAATATGGAATGTCTATCCTTATATGGTGTTGTTTACAACTTTCGTGCAAACTAAA